TTATATCGTTTTTGGAGAATATTTTCCTGCCAAATGCCTACCGATAGGGTCAGTTAAAAAACTGTCATAGATTAAGCGCAATAATTTCCACCAGAGCAGATACGATAGTCCTTAGGTGTTCTAAAGCATAATGCTAAAGGTAAAAACATGACGACGTATGAAGTTTGTATAGGAGGGGCGAAAAGGATGGTTCTTGAAATAACTATGCTACTGACTAATTGATTTCCAAAATCTCAGTAAAGGCTTATTTGTTTACATGAAGATGGTTCACAAAAATGGGCTACAACAGCGTCCGTTTGGGTTTAAAAACAGGGCTGTTTGACGCCTAATTTGTATCTTTAGCAAACGTAATTAATAAACTTGCACAAAAATGAGGAAACCTGGCGAGATAATTCCATCAACAATATAACCCTTACTTTTCCTCCCTTATAACTATAACAAGACTCTAAAAAAATTCCAGCAATTGCGTAGAAGGAAGTTAGACGATAGTTGCTTATAACAACTCTTCATCAGGCCATCTGTTCTCTCAAATGACATTGAGAAGGATAACTGAATTTACGATTGTGCTTGACGTCCTGTGTTAAGCTATAGGCTGCGTAACGTACATTCTAACCATACTAAGAAATGTTTATTCAGTATCCCAAGTTTTCAGTTTTTCATCACTGGAGGAGATTGGGGAGTGTTAAATTACATGCGAACTTCTTCTTGTCCAAATGGCGGATGTGAAATCCATGCAGTTGAATACTTCAAATTAAACCTAGTTTCGCCAGACATTTATGCGCAAACGGCATTCGGCAAATAGACTTTTAAACTTAAAAATCCTCAAGAAACATTGGAATTACAAAGTTATTTTTAAGCTGAGGGGTGGTAGAAACAGTCGAAAGACATAAGACTGGCCTGATTCGAAGAGTAAGCACAGACCCGGCTGATCGTTGTGTTAGACATTCCGCAGCACCAGCCACGAGCTGATGGCTCGCCGCACCAGGAGTGACGAGCAGTCAGACGTCAAGAAGACTTACCAAAGCGGACAGGGAAACAGGAACGGCTACCTCTGGTCTACTCTTTGTCCCCGGCCGGCCAATTTCAAACTAAAACACGGAAGCCTGGAACTCAGATGAGCGATGTCAAAGGCGTAAAGGTCAAATAGCAAAGCAGTAACAATTAAGATGGAAATAGCACACATCAGCTGAACCTTATTTCACGATTAGGGACGCCAAACGTGCTCACACTTTGGAGCTCAAGCTCGAGCCTTTGAAGTTTTTCTCCTAACAATACTCAATCATCAGTTAAGGTCCCTATGAAACATGGACACCGATACCTTAGCGATAAGTTATGGCTTATTCGCCTTCATGTAAATGTTTTTTCCTATCATAGCCTTGAAGAAGAGAACGCGTAACTCAGTTTTCCGAATATGGTCTGAACCGCGGTTACAAAATAAATTATTGCCGAGAGTTACCATAAACAGAACGATTGCTTGTTTTAACAGTCCGGCAGCCCATTTCATTGTATCGAACTTTCGCACCGGAATTTGAGGCCGAGTTTTGTCAGCAAACTTTACCACAAGACTAAACATAGAGGATACTAAACTTGCGTATAAATAATCAAACATAACTGTTTGGTAGGAAGCTGAATACCTGGCTTAACTAAATCATTGCAAAGGACGCTACAATTCTTTTCACTTTATTTCTTAGATCAGTAAATGTTTATATTGTAATGTTTCGCGCGCGAGTATTTCGAGTACGACCTGTCTGACAACCAGTATCTCTACAACACGGTTTGGCCAATGCAGCAGGTGACATCAGAAGGCACCACCTCTGTGAGAATTTTTACGGTCGCTTGAGATAAGCTGTCGCCTAAAACTTCAAAATTTACACTTGCATCCACCCAGCACATTTAAGTGTTCGTTAAAAAGTCTTCGTTATTTCAACGAGGTACCTGATAATACTCATGACGCATGGGCAGTTCAGAAAACTCATTTGGCAAGTAGGAATGTTACATCTGGACAGTTTTCTCGTGTGTTTGTAACACGAGCACTTGTCACGGTTGAAACTGGTATGCTGGTTCCACTGGATGACTGCTGGCGTCAAAATGAATTTGTTTGACGAAACAGCCGAACGTGAATTGCCCAGTCAGAAGAGAGTAATAGCCGGCGATACAGCTCTACAAATGTTTTTCTAGCTCACTGGAAGACTTGCTATGCTACTGTCGAGACAGTTCCCAATGTAGTGCCTCTTTAACAGGAACGTATTTTAACACTGCTGGTATTTGTCGCAGTGGAATATTTTTACTGTGTCACAATAGGCCATGCTGGCAAACCGCAGACCTCTTGTCTGTATCCGCAGTGGATGTATGAGATATTAGCGCTTAACAATTATTCTGACAAGATTTCTTCTGCAAGTTGATTCGGGCCGGTGATTTTCAGCAATATATAGTGTTTTGGAAGAAACGTTGGCTTAAAATCTGAATGCATCTTCCTCTCAATTATTTAAACATATGTCCATATTATTCAAGGGTTATAAATCCCATAATACTTGCCTAAACTGGGCTGATGTGCTTTTAATGCTGGTGTGGATAGGTTCCCTAAAATGTATATTTCTGCTTCCTCTGAACTCATCAAATCTTGCATCTAGATAATATGCAGGGTGAAATTGCTGTAAATGTTGTTCCGAGGCGCCGGGCTATCTTGCCTTTCCCTACCTGTTCCTCAGTCTTGAACTTACTGGTTGTTTAACTGAATGGAAGCAACACAACACAAGGCGACGCGCTCGGCATCTGTTGGATTGTCAGGTCATTTGACTTTTGATTGTTACTTCTTTCATAACTCTGGTCTTACCCTGATATCCATAGTCTGGGATTGACAGTTCTGTCCTTAGCGCTCGTAACAGTGGTGACCTTTTGACGTTCACGCTTATACCTTTAATTTGTTGACTTTCTATTTTCATACAGTCCGTTTGTCGTCTTTATTTCTACCATCATGACCTCTACGAATTCCAGCGATCCCACTGCTTCTCTCAGTGGACTTGTTCCTTCTCTCGCAGACTTTTTTCAACATGCGCCAGAACTTTATTTTTTCCATATCGAGGCGACATTTCACTGCGCCAAAATAACGCGAGAAACAGACAAATATTATAAGTTGGTCGAGGCCCTTCCTCCTGCTATCTTTTCCTAAGTGCAGACGCTTTTGCGAGATCCTCCGACTGATGCTCCCTCCACCAAGTTAAAGGCGAAACTCCTTCGCCTGACACCAGTCTCGGATCGGCAGCGTTATCACGCACTGATAAAAGAGGAGGCCTTAGGTGATCGCAAGCCGTCGGAACTCCGGCGTCGTATGCATTCTCTCGTTGAGAACATGGCCATCGACAACAAATTCTTTAAAGAGGTGTTCTTAGAACGTCTGCCGACGTCGGTACAAAGAATCCTGGCCTCTGGCTCAGATGACCTAGACATATCAAAGCTAGCGAAAATGGTCGACCGTATGATGGAGGTTGAGCGTTTGTCATCCCCGACGATTGCGCAGGTTTCCCAACCTCTCACCGTGTCCACTTCTGACCTGGCTGAACTAAAGATACAGATTGCCCAGTTGTCGGCGACTGTTGCCGCTTTGCAGCTGCGCCGATCCGCCGGTCCCTCTCGACGTTTCTTTGGCCGTAACCGTCGTCGTTCCCGCTCTCGTCCCAGGACCGCAAACCTATGCTGGTATCATGCCAATTATGGCGATAAAGCGCGGCGCTGTGTCCCATCCTGCTCCTTCAAGTCCACGCAGGGAAACTCCTCGGCCGGAGATTAAATGCGGCCGAGCTCTCCGGCAACTCTACGGGTCGCACCTTTTACATCAGTGATAACACGAGTGGCAGACGTTTTTAAGTCGACACTGGCGCTCAAATTAGTGTAATCCCTCCCACGCCAGCCGACCGACGTTGCCCAAACCATGGTCTTTTCCTTCGAGCCGTAAACTCATCCCCGATTACAACCTTTGGATTTCGATCCCTCTCCCTGGATATTAGTCTCAGGCGATTATTTCCTGGATATTTGTGGTGGCTGATGTGCCCACCGCCATCCTTGGCGTTGATGTTTTGCCGCTTTGACCTTCTGGTGGATTGCGGACAACTTTGCCTCTATGATCGCACAACTGCCCTCACCGTCAAAGGATTTCCTCCATCCTCAGCTTCTAACCATCTATCCGTCCTTGACCCAAACCCTGACTGTCCATTTCGTAGACTTTTAGCAAAATATCTTACTCTCACTAATCTCCAGTTTTCTGACACCTCATTGCCCAGTGATATTGTTCATCACATAAAAATGATTGGTCCTCCCGTTTTCTCTCGTCCCCGCCGTCTTGCTTCCGCGCGTCTTGCGGCTGCTAAAGCTGAATTTTACCACATGCTGCAACTAGGGATTATTCGACAGTCTGAAAGTTCTGGGCATCTCCTTTGCACATGGTTCCTAAACCAAATACGGATGATTGTCGTCCTTGCGACTATTATAGAGCCCTAAACAATATCACTATGCCCGATCGGTATTCGGTTCCTCACCTTCAGGACTTTGCCGGAACTCTCTGTGGCAAAACCGCTTTGGTGCGGGCTTTTCATCAAATTTCGATTGCGGCTGAGGACATTCCCAAAACGGTAGTGACGACTAATTTTGGCTTGTTTGAGTTCCTTCGTATGCCATTTGGTCTCCGAAATGCCTAACAGACTTTCCAAAGTTTCATTGACCGTGTTTTACTTGGCCTTCCATTTGTTTATGTGTATATTGATGATGTCCTTGTCGCCAGTCGAGATGTCGAGGAACATCTCCAGCACCTTACCCTGCTTTTCGGCCGATTTCAGCAGTTTGATGTCACCCTGCATCCTGCCAAATGTGTCCTAGGAGCCACTTCTCTTGAGTTCTTAGGTCACCTGGTCGACTGAAACGGCATCCGGCCTCTTTCCTCAAAGGTTGTCACCATTCGGGACTTTCCACTCCCTACCTCGAAGCGTCAGTTGCAACCGTTCCTTGGTATGGCGAACTCTTATCGTCGGTTTCTCCCGGACTGTGCCGATACCATCCTACCTCTGACCAGTCTCCTCTCAGGTTATCAGCGCACCTTTGAACTTACGCCAGCAGCACTCACGTCATTTGAGCAGGTAAAAGCCCTTCTAGCTGATGCGACCCTCCTGACTCACTTTCATGCTGATGCACCCATATCTCTGATGATCGATGCCTCCACTGTTGCTGTTGGCGCGGTTCTTCAACAAAGTCTGCCAGATTCTACCGTGCCTTTGGCTTTCTTATCCAGAAAACTATCCAAGGCCGAAACCCGCTACAACATATGCGGACGTGAACTTCTCGTCGTTTATCTTGCCGTAAGGCACTTCCGGCACTTACTCAAGGGTCGAGAGTTCACAATTTTCACAGAGCATAAGCCACTTACCTTTGCTTTGAATTCCTACTCTGGCAAACCAAATCCCCGGGAGATCCGCCACCTGGACTATATTTCGCAGTTTACTTCAGACATCCGCCATATTGACGGGTCATGGAATGAGGTGGCTGAGGCACTGTCCAGGCCCTCTATTGCTCACTTCCAGCTTTCACCCGGGATCGATCTCACTGAGATGGCCGTTGAACGACTCTGTGTCGGTTTACCCTGTGATGAGGATGTTTCCGGACTCCAGCTTCAGGAACTACCACTGACAACGGGCAACAGCACCATTTTATGCGACGTATCCACCCCTTCCCATCGTCCATTTGTGCCACCATCCCCCGCCGCAAAGTTTTCTCCTCCCTGCACAATCCCTCTCACTCTGGGAGTCGAGTAATCGACAAGCTGGGTTCCGACCGCTTCGTCTGGCCTGGGATGCACAAGGATCTCAAAGCATGGACACGGGCGTGTATCGCCTGTCAACGGAGTAAGATCCAGCGACACAACAAGGCCCCCATTGGCACCGTCCCCGGCCCTGGTGCAAGGTTCAGCCACGTTCACCTGGACATTGTTGGCTCCCTGTCTCTGTCCAATGGTTGTTCCTATCTCCTCACCTGTGTAAACCGGTTCACTCGGTGGCCTGAAGCTATTCCCCTGCCTGACATTGCTGCTCCAACGGTGGTCAGGGCTTTTCTCAGTCGTTGGTTTGCTATCTTTGGTGCACCTTCCACAATCACGACTGACTGTGGTGCCCAGCTTGAGTCTAACCTATTCCAGTCTTTACTTTCTTTTTTAGACTGTACCCGCATCCCGACGACAGCCTATCACCCGGCTGCTAACGGGATGGTCGGGCGGTTTCACCGCCAGCTGAAGGCCTCCCTACGCGCCGCGACCGATCCGGAGAACTGAGCGGACCACCTTCCCCTGGTCCTCTTGGGCATCCGCTCCGTTCTCAAGCCGGACCTTAACTGTTCCGCAGTTGAACCGGTGTTCGGCGTTACCGTCCGACTCCCCGGTGAGATGATCTCGCCAACCCTACGAGGTGCAGTTGAGGATCCCACCAACCTCCTGCATCGCCTCCGGCAGTTTATGCAGACACCTTCTCCGGTTCCTCCCAGGTACTCCGCCTCTCCGTCTTATCTCGAGAAGGACTTGGCAACGTGCTCTCACGTCTACCTTCGATGTGATCGAGTCCGCCGGCCTCTGGAACCCCCCCTATGACGGCCCATTCCGGGTGCTCTCTCGAGGGACGAATACTTTCCGCATTCAACGCGAAAATCGTGAAGAGGTCGTGAGCGTGGACCGCCTCAAGGTCGCCGTCCAGGACACTCCTCCGGATGAGTCCTTTGGTTCTCTACCCTCTGCTTCCCCACCTGTAACCTCTATTTCACGGTCCCGTATTTCCCCTCTGCCCTCCTGTCCACTACCTCCGACTGCCACCACCAACTCCAACACTTCCGCCACCAGATGTATTCACTCTTCTACGGACCCTGTATATATCACTCGCAGTGGTCGTCATGTACATTTTCCTGATCGGTTGGTCACTCATTTCTTTTAGACCTGTACACATCCTTCGGCGTCGTTTTAGCCGCCCTCCGGTCTCGGAGGAGGTACTATGCCGAGGCGCCAGACTGTCTTGCCTTTCCCTACCTGTTCCTCAGTCTTAAACTTACTGGTTGTTTAACTGAATGGAAGCAACACAACACAAGGCGACGCGCTCGGCATCTGTTGGCTTGTCAGGTCGTTTGACTTTTGATTGTTACTTTTTTCATAACTTTGGTCTTATCCTGATATCCATAGTCTGAGATTGACAGTTCCGTCCTTGGCGCTCGCAACAATGTATAACGCAGCATGTCTTTTTTATGAAAACTCAAACAGCTGTCAAATGCAAGATCGCATTATTATAACTTAAGGCCTTGAATATATCGCATATGAAATGACTGATTGGCAAGTGTTGTAGGCCCTTCTCCAGGATAAGCCTTGTGGAGCTTCTATCCACCCAAGTCCATTGGCACCCTTAATTTTCCGAAGACTTAGCTAGTCTACAGGATTTATTTAAAGACCAAAGGACTACTGAATACATTGATACGCTTCTGAGCTAACCGGTATCAACGGGAAAACCCATATTAGCAGTGGAACGTCCAGTGGACTCCAAAAGGGAGTTGTAGACAGCGTACCTAACAGAAATACTCGTAGTGACATTAGAAACCATGAGATAGAAGCCAGAGCACCCAGTGCGGTTGATGAGAGAAAAATTGGAATGATGCCAAAAAGGAAAGAGTAGGGGAAATATAAGCTGAGAAAATAGGAAAAAGTCAAACCAAGACGAAAGACTGAGGAAGAAATGAGCTAAAAAGGAAGGAGCTGACAGCGTAGTTTCTGTACTTGAATATGCAATCGTGCTTTTTTCCAGTGACTTGTTCCGGTTTTCACCATAAGCCCAATTGCTAACCTCCATACCTGGCTGGAACATAGAACACGTATACGGTTCATTGCTGAGTAATAAACCTTCGCTTGAACAGATAATTGGCCGAATTTTTACATTTAACCAAACGTTCGGATCTAACAAGCAAACTCGATAGTCGAAAAGCGCTTTTTATGGAGAACAACGTAGATATTCGAGGCCTGTCAACGTTCTGCACCCTACAAATCCCACATTATCCATCTGAAGTGCATGGAACATTGGTGGCGAACATTGTGTTTTACTAGAAAATAGGACAGATGTTTAAGCAGTCACGGAATCAACAGTCACATACTTCGAAGACAGTTGGAAATTTTCAGATTTCATTATTATGAGCTTCGTCGATTTCTAGAACGCTAGTTCAGTAGCAATCGATTGTCGCTATAAACCCATACACTCCAATTCTACTGAGCCTTTACGCTTTCGCCAACAAGTAGTGGTTTTTTTCCTGCCAGCTGCACTCACAGGCTAGGGCTTAATACTTATAGATTTATCATCTAACTTTCTGCTCCCAGACATTGGAGGGGTGAGACTAAGACTGGACTAACTGCTTTGCGGCTAAACGTACCATCTGATATTGCCCAGTCCGGACCGCTGTTGAAACTGTACTTTATCGTCGTATACCAAGGCATTTTAACTAAAGGAACCTGAAAATCTGTATCCTTATGTCACACCCAACGTGCGTCTGCTGTTCGCTGTTTGCATGACAACTCTTCCCACCTCATAATCATTCACCGGCAGACCTAGGCTGCGGGCTTGACTTAACTTGGGCACGGTCGCAGATCCGTGTAGAAGAAGCAAGCCTTGCCTAAGTGGTATTTGCCTCCTATTTTGTCTACTAGTGTTATAATTTATGTACAGATCTATTAACGTTAACAACAATTTAGCAGCTCATGCTTGGGAGGTTTTAAACTTTAAAAGATCATCCGATCCTTAGGTACCCAGTTAACTATAAAATCATGTGTCTCGTTGAAATGTCTGATTGTTTTGCGAAGGCAAATGAAAGTCCTGGAGTAGTGAACGTATTTTTACACTAAAGGCTTCTCTGTTCCACTGTTTGTAGTCCATATCATATCCTTAACTAACTATTCTGCTGACTAACTTCACTCTCCTCGTTTATCTCCACTGGCGGCAGAAGATACGCAGCCAGATTCATCGCGGATCCATTTTTCTCTCCTGAACACTTCCTTGGTTCAAAAACTCCTGGGAAAATCTAAATATTTTACAACTGAACACGTCTTCCTAGATATGAATAAAAATGCTTGAAGCAATATTTCCCCGGAATGAATTTAAAGCAGGCATCGACAGCAGAATTTTTTGGTACCAGTAAATTCTGCTGTCCATGCCTGCTTTAAACTAAAAATGTGTCAATCTTTGTTATCAAGCGCATTGCTGTTTTGTATATTTTGAAGGCCGGCGAAAATAGGCTATTAGTATTTGTACGCCCTGCCCACGGAAACGAATGCCAATTTGGTATTAACAAAAGTATTAAGTTTCTAGGTTACTGGTGTCACTATCCTGACTACCACACAAATATAAAATGCGTTTCTGTAGCAGTGTTGGTTTGGCACCAATAATGCTTACGCTGGCAACCGGTTCATCATTATTACCGGTGATTATAACGGCCTGCCCATCTTTCTTCATGGCAAACCCACCGCATAATCTGGAATTTAAACTGTACGCCCGGTGGCAAAGAGGAACGTCTAGGTCAGTTTGATCAATGAATGTTCATTTCACTGAGTGGTAAGCAAAAGAATGCGGAACAGTTAAGCAGATAATTGTGTCATGGGGTGTGATAAATTTGTTGGACTCTAGGTTTATAACGGAGATCTTCAGTCGAATGCATCTACTTCCGATTATGGAAACGGGCACAAAGTAAGTCATGAACAATTGGCCGATTAGACGTCCGTCTTGACCAGGATTCAGAGATGCTGTGGCTATTTTTTAAGGCGGTGTCCCAGAAATAAATATTATTTTGTAGTAAACCAGTCATACGTCACTATTGTATGAAAGAACGAATGCAGTTCGGACGAAGATAAGTCTGGTTCTTCATATATCTTCCATAGTGTAAAAGGACAGATTATTCCCAAATGTCCTTAATTAAACGGAGTGTGCAATCAGGCTTGTTTTTAAATCTGTATATCTTTCGCTGCCACAAACTCTTACAAAATCTTGGAGTATAAGTACTGAGACCATAATACTAAAACACTGTACAAATCATGTAAAACGAAAAGCGACCAGTTTTACTTGATCTTTGGGGGTTTGATTTTGGCCCACACGTCGCAGACCTCAGGTTTGTTTACTTGCGATTGACAAACTAATTCGTTTTTTAGACAAACAACGTTAAGACCATCACTAGACCGGATAACGACCGGAGATGCCGAAAGAAACTAAACAGTGAGTTTTTGCCGCACTGACTGAGTCCTTAGCTAATCGATATCTAGGAGTGAGGAATTGCAAAAACCATTTGAAATAAAAGGCACCACAAGTCCCAGTGGACGCATTTTATCCTTCTTGTTTTCCAATCCCGATGCATTGGAAATATATCCTCACTCTTTTCAAACTTATGACTACCATCTTGGGGTCTTCCTCAAGCATAAGTTATGGAAATTCACAAGTGCTGTCTTCCAGTTCACGTGAATGCTGCCTGTTTACTAAGCAAAAAACCGGAGGCCTTCCCCCTTCAGCTGTCGTTTCCTTTGGAGTTGACGATTAAAAAATCAAGTTTATTAATGTAATTGTACACAGCAGCTCTCAGCATGAAAGTCCTCATTAATTCAATAGAGCAAGATCACCGGAAAACCCATTATTTGTCGGATAACTCTGTCTGAGAAGGGTTGCTCTTGCATGCTGAATAGCAGAACTTAGCTGCTTAGTTTGAACGCATTATTTGAGCGAAAAGACTATCCAAATTTGGCAAACCTCCCTTCACAATG